ATAGTTGCACAACAATGTGACTGTTATTAAATGCCATTGAATTGTACCCTTTAAAAAGAATAAAACAGCATATTTTTTAAAAAATTAAAAAGCAAAGAATGAAAACAAAAATTGTGGTACATACTTGCTTTTCTGAACTGAACCACTGCTCCTTTAGGAGTACTGGCATTTTCATTGAGGACCACAGGAGAAAGTAACACTTCATGCAGAGGAATGCGTCTATGGGATGGAGACACCCACAGCCAATGTCAGGAGCTGAGATTCTGTGGGGCAGGCTGTCATGCAAAGACCACATAGGTGGTCTTTTCTGAGCCAACTCATAAAGCCAGACCAAAGTTCACACCTGTTCAGGGGTTCTGCCCTGAGCAGTGCCCATCTCTTCTGCTGACTAATTCCTATTAAAGACCCTTACTTGGCCTTTGGGTGAAGACACACTTACTACCCTTCCAGGGACAGTTTACCTGGGAAGCCCAAGGAATGGGAGCAGGTGAGTGCCTATGGGCTATGAAGCACTGGTGTTTCAGAAAGGTTTGTTTGTTTTTAAGAGAGGGCCTTGCTATATAGCCCAGGTTGGCCTTGAACTCTCGATCCTTCTGCCTCTGTCTCCTGGTTGACGGGATTACACGTATGTAGCACCATGCCCAGCTCAGCAAAGTTTTACTGAGTATCCACCAGGAGCCAAATTCTTGCCTTGGTTCTCACAAGTTTGTGTCTTTGTGTGCACCACTCACACCACTGATGCCTTCTGGGCACCTAGGCTGGGGCAGAGTTTGCTGTGTCCCTGGAGCTGCACAAGATGCTAACCCCTAAAGTAGCCTAGAAATGGTGGCCTCCTAAGCAGGCATAGCTAGTCGTGTATTGTTCTTCACAGTGCTCCCCGATACCCTAAGTGTCCAGATGAGGAAGGTGCAAATGTCTGTTTGGTACCATTACTAACTAGCAAGACAGATCTACCCACAGTGCTGTTGAGATTTTCCATAAACAAATGGGAAAGACAAAAATGCCAATTCTGCCTTAAAGCTGCCATGTCTATGTTGGGAGCACACACACAACTTTCAGAAATAGCCCCATAATATTCTGTCAAAATGGAGTCATTAATAGTCAAATTCCAGAAACAAACGTCCTTAGCAGCTTGGGTTCATTCTGAAAAACAGAGGAAGCAGGGTGCCTGGCTTTACTTTTAATAGCGTGGTTGTCATGTCAACTAGGGCTGCTGCTTAAATTGAAGGGAAAAGAAATTCTCCTTCCTACACAAACCTCAAAATGAGTCTTTAAAACACATGAAAACTAGCATTGGAGCAATGGTAAATATCACGCTTATATCTGAGCCCTACAGAGCAAGGCTGTGATAAACCTTAGGTTTGTGTTTCTGTTGTTCAACTCTGCAAGCCCAGAATCAGGTTGAACAGGGCCCTGAAAGAAAGAAAGCTTGTGTGGGCACACCTCATGGTGGCCAGTCCTGAGCTGGGAGAGCAGCCTTCCGTCTGAATAAGGACAGCAGAAGAAGGGTACAGAGAGAATGATGTCCCTGTAAGAGCATCTCTGCTGCTGGCTACAAGCACAGTTCTTCAAAGTGCTACACGGCATACCCACCACCCTTGGGTGCCAGTGATAGGAGGAAAGAGGACAAGCTGACACTCACAGCAGTCAGCCAAAGAGAGGAGACAAGAAGGAAAACATACCCTGGCCTGATGTGGAAGAGCTGCTGTTGGTTGGGACAAGAGAGAGGAAAGTCCAAGGACAGAATCTCTTCTCTCCCAATAGCCTGGCATGTCCTCCGTGAGCACAAAAGACTCCATGTGTACACACAAGGTTGCTGCACTGTCTCCGAGGCACAGAAGCCTGTTCACAGGTCAGCCGAGGATATGGCTGACCCACAGCAACAGGCAAAGCAAGGTCTGCCAACAGTTTGTGACACTGACAGTCTGGCCCCGGTGTTGCTTCCAACATCTCTACTATCAAAGAGGACAGCAAGCTTTCAGTTCCTGGTCTCTCAAGTCTAATCCTTTGCCACTCTGTAAGCTTGATGGTACAAGATATCTCTGTCCTCTTAGACTATGGTAGTCCCCTCTATCCTCAGAGTATCCATTCCAAAATCCCCAGCGATGGCTGAAACTGTGCATAGTGCCAAACCCTATGTCTATTGTTTTTTCTTTTTACCCTGCAGCATGCCCAAAAAGTAAGAGCTAATGTCCTTCCTTGTTTTATTCCCTGGTGCCCCCTCACCCCCCAGTCCTTGCACTTTGAGGCCACTGTTAGGTAATAGAAGGGTAACCTGAACTCAAGCATGTGATGTCATGACAGTTGGTCAATCTGCTAACAAGGCAGCTACTAAGTGACTAACAGGCAGGCCATGAACACAGCAGGGGTACACTGAACAAAGGGATGACTCACCTTGTGTCCCCCTTTGCTTCTTCCATGTATAAGCAGGATGGGGCAAGATTTCATCACCCTGCTCAGAGGACATGCAATTTAAACTTGCAAACTCTTTATTTTCAGTTATGCTTATTATATATTAGTTAGAAGATCTGAGACAGCATGGTTGTCATGTTTGTAGGTGTGTGCAGCGAAAGGGTAAGGGGAAGAAACTCCAACTGCTCACATAGAATGGGCAAGAAAAGCAGAAGCCAAGGATTCAAGTTCTTTATCACGGGATTCAGGGAATACTGAGTCCCTTGGAGTGTGCTGAGTCTCCTTGGGATTGTCTGGCTGCTTCTGTCCAGACTGGGAGACGCTCATGGGCAGTGGCTGCACTGTGCTCAGAGCTGTACCCCTATCCTTCATCACAACCCCTGGCACAGAACAGGTGATACATACATATGCATTGAAGCAATAAATTTCATATATTCTACCAAGTGATCTCTATTTCTAATAGATAAAAGACAGATATGGTACCAGAACCCAAAAGGCTCCAGGGGATACACTGAGATAAATTTCCCTTTCCTGCACACTTGCACTCCAACACCCTCAGGGCAGTCTTTGGCACCGTCTACCATTTTAAATATGACCAGTGAGGTGACATTCTGGACTGCAGGGGCCCCTGAAAGCAGACTACCCAGTGATTTGGGTATTAGGTCATTACCACAAGGTGGAGGATGCATGTGACATTGAGATGGAAGTCATCCGAGTGAAAACAAGGTCCTGGGATTCCATACTAAGAGAGCTTCCAGAGGAAGCTGCCGGCTTCCAGAGGAATGCTGCAAAGTTGATAGCCGTCCCCCCAGAGTCATCCACGGAATGACGAGCAGCCCACAGGCAGGAGCCATGCAGCCTGTCACCCGAGCTGGCCACTTCAGGCTCCTCACACCTGCTTTGGATGAAGGCAAATTTCTAGCTGGGGAAAGGCTATGTTGCTACAAGAGGGGACGAAAACAGTGTCGTGAACCACATTCTACCAAGGACCTAAACAGGTGTTCAGTGGTTTGTCTGGAGGGAAGAAGTACCTTGAAGAGCTCAACTGTGAGCAGATGGCACTGAGCCCACAGACAGGCTGTGTGGTGGGCACAACTGACAGGATCAAGCTGGTTGGGTGGATGGGCCAGGGAAATCAATGCATCTGAAGGGATTGGAACCTACAGGTAAGGGACAATCTGGGCCAACCCCAAACCTGGATCAGGTCCCAGCGGGGCAGGCCATGTATGCGGGACATCTAGACACAACACATTATCTGGGTGTGTCGTAAGGGGCTGGTGTTTTTGAAGGCTGAGTAACCACTGCCCTGCAGTCACCAAACCAGACTAAAAAAAGACCTGAGCCACGCAGGCTCTTCTGCTCCCCAGGTTCCTGCCTAATGTGGTGAGGCACGGCAGGCTGGAGGGCGAGGCGAGCTCTGATCTGATTTCAGCCAATCTGTTACTGTATTTCATTCCCTGTCCTCATGCCCAGAGGCTGTTGCAATGGGTATAAATTTAGAAAGAGAAAGATAAATAACATGGGAAAGTTTATTTTAACAAAATAGGTTGTTTCTTTCCCTCTTTTGATTTTGCTAAAGATAAAATGGTCTCTTTACTCATTTAGCTTTACCAACATGGAATTTGATACTGTGGGCAGAAACTTAATAATGTATAAGCACAGCCCAGATGAACTGGCTCCTTTTCAAACTGTGAAGCATCATACGTCCACAACCTAAGCATTTCTTAGACGCGGAGGGAGTTGAGAGGGCGATGACCCCCTGCACCAGATCTGGACTCCCAGCCCTTTCTGGCCGAGTAAAACACTCCAAAGGAAGACAGTGTTCACTTGATGTGAAACAGTCTCTACAGCCAACCTGATGGTACATGTGCCTGAAACTGTCACCAGGAGTGATACAGTGACAGTTTAAATGAAAGCCAGACACTTTGGTTATAATGGAAATTACACTGGAAGAGAGCTAGGCGCAGTGGCTCATGCCTGCAATCCCAGCTACTCAGCAGGTGGATATTAGGGGGAATCATGGTAGAGGGCAGCTGGTGGGGGGCTGGGGGGAGTAGTTAGCAAGATACCATGTCAACCAACAGGCCCTACATGGTGGCGTGCACCTGTCATCCCAGCTATACAGGACGTGTAAATAGGAGGAGTCCAGTCCAGGCTGGCCTGGGAAAAAACTCAAGTCCCTATCAGAAAAAATAACTAAAGTAAAAAGGATTAGGGGTATGGCTCAAGTGGTAGAGTGCCTGCCTGGCAAGCTCAAGGCCCAGAGTTCAAACCCTATTACCACCACTAAAAAAAGAGAAACTACACTGGAAGAGAAAATGCTTTAAGAAGTGCAGATCTCTTTCTGTCCCCTTCCCTACACTCACAGCCTGGGGCTTTGGGCTACTTCTAGTAAGAAACTGTCAATCATTTCCATCACCTAATCATTTAGCCCAATCACAGAGAAGGAAACCAATGTTAAATGGCTGGCCCAAGGTCATATGGCTGCCAGTGCTAGAGGAGTACCCAGGACCAGGTCCTGTGGCTCTTCCCTGAGGTCATCCTGCTACCACCTGCCACAAGAAAGCAACCAGACTCAGCAACTATACCTCTGACAGCATCTCATACTGGCCTCTTCTTCCAAGAGCAATGGTCAGTAAATCATAGACCACGGACGCACTCTGCAGACTGATGAGTCGGTCGCTCTTGTGCTCAGGTATTCTGCTCAGCACAGCATCCCGGTTGGCCTGAAGACAACATGGAAGAGAGAAGCAGATGGTGAGCCAGCCCACGCACACAGCCATCACTGTGTGGTACAGAGGCCACCTGGGTCCTCCTGCCCCTCATGGCTTGCTGAGGGGCTGGAGGGAGGGCAGGAGTGAGTAAGGGGCATGTCACCTCGGGGCATGTATTCAAAATCTCCAGAGCACCATGGAGAGTATATACATTTTGACACAACACTAAGGCCTAGAGGTGTGAACCTGACAGCAGGTGTTTGGAGGAAGGTCTGGGAGTTGAGGCAAACAGGGAGAGCGTTCCTGGGCTCCAGGCCACATGACAGTGGACTCTGGGCAGTCTCAGAAGCTATTAAGTGAGGCCTTGCTGTGATCAAGCTTCTGCTGTATGCTACTAACTGGAAGAACATTCCCAGAACTGCATTTTCTGTCATCAAATGGTGTCAACCAAGTCCCCTCAGTCCCACAGAGATAGATCACCCTTTCCCTCTATCACCAAGCAACGCTCAAGTCTGTCCATGGACAACATCTCCAGTGGAACAAGCCTCAAACACTAATCCAATCTTGTAAAGAGAAGCACAAAATAAAGGTATAAGAGGAGACAAGAAGGGGGCTGATTTTCACTTTCTGTGATTTTCCTGCAGAGGACTCAAGAGAACACCTGGGCAATTTCACATCTCCATTGCTTAGCACAGAAATCATCAGATACAGCCTAGCTCACTCATCTCATCTACACAGAAATCAAACGTTCTTCACAGCAACATGCTTTCATTGCTTCTGAGATGTAATTTCTCACAGAGCTCCAGATATACCACAAGTTCTAGCTGCTCAAGAGCTGGCACGTTTTCCTCAGATTCTCTTGCCTCTCCTCCCCCCACTCCTGCTAATTAGCATAAGTCTCCAGGCCCCTCTGCCTGAGGCGCAGAGACAGGGCTCTACAGTCGTCCCTGTGAGCGTGGCATGGGAGGTTCTGGAGTCACTTGTCTCCCAGGCTAATGTGTATCTTCCTACCTGACATTGGAAATGACACACACACCCCTTCCCTATCGCTAATGAGGCAAAAAGCATTTTTTGTGTGTGAGTCCAAGACATTTACTTTTAGCCACCCATCAGAACTTACTCACTTTAAAACGCCTGGCTCTTAAATGTCAAAGCCAAATGGGAATACATAAGACAGGCCACTTCCTACAAAGTGAGTCATCTCTCATGGAAAAGCCTGCTTTTGAAGATTTCATTCTAAGTTTTCTTTACGCAGTGCCTTCTGAACCCAACATAAGCCACTCTGAAGGAGGGAGGGCCTGCCGGAAATGGTCTCATTCTACTTATTTCTATAAATGTTCCTTACTGAGGCCAATGCCTAAAAGAGAACAAGATAAAGCACAACAAATACTGCTTAGGTGACATCTTCAAGTTATACCTAATGTATCCAAAAGGTACAATCGAGCGTGATGTGGTGATGCATGCCTATAATACTACCCATTCTACTTGAGAGGCAGAGACCTTGAAGCTGGTGGTTTGAGATCAGTTTGAGGAAAAAAGTTAGGAAGACCCCCATCTCATCTATGGTCCCAGCTATGTAGGAGGCTGTAAGTCAGAGGATCATGGTTCAAGGACACCCCAGGCAAAAACACGACACCCTATCTGGAAAATAACTAAAGCAGAAAGGGCTGGTAGAGCACCTTGCTAGCAAGTCTGAGCCCAGAGGTCAAACCTCAGTAGTGCAAAAAAAAAAAAAAAAAAAAAATACAATCTGGAACCTCAAGTAGATCCACAAATAAGCATCCCAGAATCTGGTGTCAGTGGTAGTAGTACAGATACAGCTCTGATAATCTCTTTCTCCAAGAGAAAATGAGTTTGCTATGCATTGAGAAAGCCATACACTTCCAACTGATTTCTTGTAGGTGGAGACTGAATAAACTTGTGTTTCTACATCAGAGTCAGAACTGTTGAAGAGTATCATTTTCTCATATACCCAAAAAAACACAACAACTCTCATTTTGATTCTGAAATTGAACACATTTTCTGCGTGAAAACTGAAAAATCAAGAAGTCAAATGACATGAAAAAGAGTCTCCCCAGGACAACTTCAGTTAGGACGGATCCTGGGAGAAGGAGACCCTTTTAGTGGGGCCGAGTCCTTCTTAGTTACTGATCATGTCACTGGATATCACTGTTCTCTGAAGAGACTCTTCCAGAAATTAAGTACCACAAAGCCAATCTGGACTACTTCAAGGGAATCTCAATTTTGAGTATTGTAAGTTTCTACCACTTCTGGGCAGGAGCAGGAGACTCGAAGGTGCCATTCCAAAGCATCTACACCACACAAGGAGCAAGCACTACAGAGACAGGGCTGTGTTTCTCAAGTTCCAGCCTGGAACACAGGGTCTGACTAGGGACACAATATTTTCAATCGGAATTGTCCAAGCAATCTAAAATGCATGTCACCCTTTGATCACATGATAAAGCGAGAGTACACAAGGGAGGTATGCGGATAGTTAAGACACCTAAAAAACTAGATAGCATTTGTTGCCCTGAACGCAGAGAAACTAAAGCAGATACCTGAAAGCAACTGAGGCCAATCGGAGAAGGGTACCAGTAACTACAGAAAAGGTGAGATCAAAAAGAATTAACCTAGTCGCTGGTAAATGGATGGAATTGGAGAACATCATTCTGAGTGAGGTTAGCCTGGCTCAAAAAAACCAAAAATCGTATGTTCTCCCTCATATGTGGACATTAGATCAAGGGCAAACACAACAAGGGGATTGGACTATGAGCACAAGATAAAAGCGAGAGCACACAAGGGAGGGGTGAGGATAGGTAAGACACCTAAAAAACTAGCTAGCATTTGTTGCCCTTAATGCAGAGAAACTAAAGCAGATACCTTAAAGCAACTGAGGCCAATAGGAAAAGGGGAACAGGTACTAGAGAAAAGGTTAGATCAAAAAGAATTAACCTAGAAGGTAACACCCACACACAGGAAATCAATGTGAGTCAATGCCCTATATAGCTATCCTTATCTCAACCAGCAAAAACCCTTGTTCCTTCCTATTATTGCTTATACTCTCTCTACAACAAAATTAGAAATAAGGGCAAAATAGTTTCTGCTGGGTATTGAGGGGGGTGGAGAGGGAGGGGGCGGAGTGGGTGGTAAGGGAGGGGGTGGGGGCAGGGGGGAGAAATGAACCAAGCCTTGTATGCACATATGAATAATAAAAGAAAAAAAAACATACAAAAAAAAATAAATTAACCTAGAAGGTAACACACATGCACGGGAAATCATTGCAAGTCAATTCCCCGTATAGCTATCCTTATCTCAACTAGTAAAAACCCTTGGTCCTTCCTATTATTGCTTATAATCTCTTTTCAACAAAATTAGAGAGAAGGGCAAAATAGTTTCTGCCGGGTAGCGAGGGGTAAGGGGGGGTAAGGGAGGGGGCGGGGGGAAGGGGGGAGAAATGACCCAAACATTGTATGCACATATGAATAAAATAAAAATAAATAAATAAATAAATAAAATGTATGTCACCAAGCTTTCACAGCTTTTACATGGTAACCAACCAAGTTTGCCCCAAGGAAACTAACTGCCAAGATGTGAGGAGTCCAGAGTGGCACAAGGGAAAGTTAGTTAGGAAGTCTACGTGCACTGCCCCCATCAACTGGTGATGAAGCAGGTGAGACCTGTTCACTTGAAAAACAGTGACTGGATACCACCATGTGCCAGCATGGACACCTGTGCTGAATGCCTCTCTTGGCTGTGCCAAGGCAGAGCAGAGAAGATAAATGCCACCGTCTAGGTTACCAGCTGAGAGTCAAGGAAAGATGAACCAAGGGAAGCCCTGCTTCCTGGAGACAAAATCAGCCCGATGACGTCAAGGGCGTCCAGGAGAAACATGGTGGTAACTCAAGAAGGCCTGCTCTTGTAAACATCTCAGTGTCAGTTCCTAGAGCAGGAAAACCCCAAGTTTGAAATGGAGGCAAAACAGCTGCCCAGCCCAACTCATTGTAGCCTTTCTGATCCCCATCTCCTGCACAGGAGCATTCTCTAACTAGAATTTTCATGTGGCTGTCACCCAGGCATGCTTGTGCAGCACATTTGGGGTAAGGGGCATGTAAGAGAACAGCTTTCCTTCTGATTCCGTTTCTCCATGTGGGCTGGAAGCCTAACGAGGGGCAGTACAGTTTACCAGAAGGACCAATGGATCACTGTACCACAGGTGCATCTTGTCTGCTCTGGACCTCAGGTTCCCTCACCTGTAGCAGGAGGTGAGTGACCACAGGCCTCCAGAAGCCAACTCTGCTGCTCAAGTGCTCAGTAAACATCATTTGTCCATGGAGGCAGCAACTACAACTCAATACCTCCAAGGCCTCAAGCCAGGGCCATAATATCTAATGGAAGTCCAGTAAATGGTGAGTGATGCAGTTTTAGAGCTAAAATTCAATACCCTGAGAAAGTGTTCCAAAGGTCTGGCAAGGACTAGCAGAGGCAGAGCCAGGCTCTGCAGAGCCTGGGACAAGGCGGTACATGGAGAGGTGAGCAGCGTGACAGGAATAGGCAGTTCTATCAAACTCCTGCCATAAAAGCTAGGGTCTATTTACCCAACAATTGATGTATCCCAGCACCTGTCCTCCTGCCAGGGCAAAGCGAGAAGGTTGTAAGGGCCACCCTTCAGGCTCCTTTCCCCCAGGTAGTCATTTCATATCAGCACTTTACTTTCATACAGTCTCACTAGGGTTCAACCAATCCTTAGTGGGTGAATGAGTGAATGAAGACATCTGCCCATTGTCAAAATACTACTGCTTTTTTTTCCCTACTAAAGTATTCCCTCTAGAAAGAATTTTCTCCAGACAAAAAGTCACCATACTGAGGGATAGCAAATAAAGGGACTCTATGGAAAAGGGAAAGAAGAATGAAAAACACATTCCACTTACCATGGATTCACTAATCAGCAGTAACAACAGGGCCTCTTCAGTATTTTCTTGCGGACAAAAAATGCTGCATGAAGAAAATCAATTTTGATATATGGCAGTTTTGAAATAATATGAAATTCTTGACAAAAGTGGAATGGCATGCTAAAAGCAACTCGATTTTTATATAGAACCCATGAAAAATACTATATAATTTGGACACTTGAATCAGTTTGCTATGGCAGTCCATGAAATTAGTATGTTTTAGACACACATTTTAATGGCAAGCAGAGGGTGAAGTAAAGCTGTAAAAAAACAAGTTAAAAGCCCAAATAACATCTATCCCTATTACAGAGGCAGACATTTCAATCACTCCCAGCTGACATTGTGTAGACACTAGGAGATGTCGCTTACACCCAGTAGGAAGCATAAACTGCAGATATTTCTCTAGATAGCCCTCTTCTTACCTGTCATCAGCTAACTGGCATATCTAATATCATCATTCAGATGAAATAAGAGATTGGAAGAAATTTTGGAGTTTGAATAATTTCTCTAATGCCGTAAGAGTTTAGAGAGTAATCTTACTTAAACACACGTTTTCTTATGGGCCAGCATGCAGGAACTGTCTTGCTAATTTATTTTATGGAATTTGGCTGAACTCTAAAGTTCTGGATTAAGACAAAAAGCTTTTAATCTCAACATTGCTGAGGATTAGAAAACAATAAAACCTCCACACAACCCTCTGTGTCTATCTGCACCCTCTATATCCCATTTTTTGTACTGTGAGCACTTTTAAAGGCTCTTAGACTTTTTCTCCCTTCTTGTTCTGAAGATCTAGAATTCTTTGAATAGAACTGTGAACTTTATCACAAACTGGTCCAAACTCAACTCTTTTTTTCTTCATAAAATTGAAAAAGAGTTTGCAGTAAATAAAAATAAACTTGGTTTAAAAAAAACGCCTGCATGTTTTGAGGATGACTAGAGACTAAATTTACATCTTCCTAGAAAAAACTTTACAATTATTTAAAAGATTTCCTCCTCCCCAGAAAGAAAAAAATCCCACGTTTTCCAAGTCAGTATAAATACTTGGTCTTTTTGAAGAATTGGTTGATTCTCTACTACATCGGCGGACATTGAGGAGTGAGAGGAGGCACAGAGCCTGCTCCTCTGAACTGGCAGAGGCAAAGGGACCTCCTGGGGATGTGCTCACTGCCCCTCCAGGGCTATGGGAGGGCTGGCCTGGGACTGCAGGGAGGATTCTAGGGCTTGTAGTCACTCCCTTTGGAAGTCTGCACATGGTGATCTGGGTTTTTCAGAAAATGGAACACTTCTGTCCCATAAATTCAGAAACAGAATCTAAAGGCTTTGAATTAAGAGGCTCTTGCCGTGTGTGTGTGTGTGTGTGTGTGTGTGTGTGTGTGTGTGTGTGTCAATTATTTCCTGATATCCTGGCTCTGCTTATATGCAGTGGGGACCTCATAAATAAAGCAATAACCTTAACCATTATTGCATGGCTAGCCAGTCCTGTATTGTTCAGACTAATTGAAAAGAGAGAGAGAGAGAGAACGTGTGCACCCGTGCTAATTATGACTTATACCGGCCAATTCAGCCCATGGATAATCTCCAAATTCCATTTGAGCCATCCAGCTTGCTTGAATGCTAGATTGAGTTATTTTTATCAGAGTTGCTAACGAGCAGCGCATTAACTAATTCCACTTCCCCAGCCCTCCCTCTTATGGCAGGCGGGCCCTCTGGAGTGCTGCAAAGCTCCAGGGCTGTCAGGAAGAGGGGGAGTTGTATGAGACGTGCCTGAAAAACCACACACTGGAATGTTCCCTTCCATAATTAATGAGTCCCGGAAACACATTTATGGACACTTCTTCCTTTTTCCTTGCTCATGCAGTGTGGAGCCTAGGGTAGATGGTCAAAACTGTTGGGACCTTCCTTTTGTGACATTCTTCTCTTTGGGGCCCAAGAATCCCATGGGAAGACCTTGGAGTACACAGGCCTCAGTCTTGGAGAGTGGGAGAAGGGGACACTAGACCCTGAAGGGGCTGCATGAAGAGCGGGGGGAGGAGGGACCAGCAGGCAGTGTGGCAAGCTCCCAAAGGTGGGCAGGCTGGGGGTTCTGCTCAGCCCAGCCATGCTGCTGATTCCTGGGGTAAACTTTAGGCAAATTGCCCATTTTCTTTGGATAAATTTATCAACTCATTATGTGAGTCTATGGAAGACATAGAACAAGAGCAAGGAGCCTCATGTGTGGTTATGTCTTGCCAGGGTTCCCAGATAATAGTTCTTTCTCAAAAACTTTCCCAAATAGGTAAAACAAAAAAACCCTTTGCAATATATGTTAGACACAATCACGACAAAGAAATTAAGTCAACCTGCTCCAAGTGCATTTTGTCTCTTCTGTCCTCTGAGGATGTCTAAATGTCAACAGCACCACTGAGGAGTCAAAGTGACTCTATGTGGGTGCAGGGGAGGCCTTGAGCTCTCCAGCCCACAGGAGGCTGGTTTGTAAATAATGACATTAACTCCAAGGTCTAGGCGGGAGCTATTCTCCTTCTCCTGTGCCTGGCTGGGACACCACTAGGGAAACTCCTGGAGAAATCCAGCCTCTAAACCCAGCCAGCCAGGTGAGAGCCAGGGGTCAAGGCCAGGAGCAGCTGAAGCTGCAGCCACCCTAGCTGCACTGTTCATCAGACACACCAAGGCAGAAACTACTGCCATTCCAGGTTTGTGCAGAGAGATGAGGACACCAAGAAAGGAAGAAAATTTAAATTATATTTAGCAGTGCCTCATACTACTAATGTATGCTAATAAAAAAAGAGTTCCAGCTGGTCCAATCTGAGGATTACACAGGCCTCCCCACAACTTGTCCCTTTTCTATCATCTCTTTAGGACCAGGACAGAGGGCCTTTCCTCAGCTGTCTCAGATCTGTGCCTCACCCTGTAGACGGGCCAGGTAGATCGCCTGTGCCAGGGCTCCTGCAATCCTGTTGGGAGGACAGGCTCTGGGCCAGGCTCACTACATGGGAGGAAACTGATTAGTTCTGCCAACACGAAGTTGTCCTGAGACCATAACATTCCTTGTTTTTCCACTTTACCAGTGGCCCATCTTTACCAAAAACCTGTGTGTGGGCCACCAGGAGGTCAGGACCCACACTAAGCATGATCTGGTGATCTCCTACACCTAGCAGGGAGCCCAGCCCAAGGCCTGTGCTCAACGAAAGAAAAAAATACAGCTCACTGAAATATATGTGTTGCACACACTAAGAAACATGTACGGGAACATTCATAGCAACACTGTTCCTGGTTACCCCAAACAGAATGGGGAACAGCTCAAATGGTCATTACAAATGGAACGGGTCAATGTACTGGGTGATGTTAAAATGGAATAGTATGCAGCACTGAAAACAAACTACGAACAAAATGCTTTCAAGCATGTTAGACAAAAGAAGTTAAATATAAGTGAGTGCACATTGTATCATTCTGTTTATATAAATTTCTTCTTATTTCATGTGTTACAGATAAAACAATGACTTATTTGTCTTAGAATGGGATCTTGCTACATTTCCCAAGCTGGTCTCAAACTCCTGGGCTTAGGTGATCCCTCCTCAGTCTCCCAGGTGCTGGGACTACCACATGGGCCACATGCCCACCTTATATAACCTTCGAAATTAAGCAGACTAATTATTGTGCTAGAAGTGAGTTCAAGGTTTCCCTTGGACAGGGATAGCAATTTTGAGGAGTAGGAAGAAGGCATCTCAGGCTCTGGCAATGTCTGCTTCCTGATGAGGATGCTAGCTACGTGCATGCATTCATCTGGCCAAAATTTGTTTTATTCTTTTCATTTGTTTACTTTTTCCCATGTTTGTTATGCATCAATAAAAAGATTACCCTAAAAATAAATCAAAGTAGAAAATACTCTTCACAGAGGACCCAGAAGAAAGGAAAGAAGTTGGCCTATGACAGGTGAGCCCTCCCCCTTTCTACCCAGGGTTTCCAGCATTTTGTTTCCGTTCAAAATCCAAGCTATTGGTCAGAGAATGAGCAGGTCCAGGCTGCAGCCCAGTCCACAACAACAGGCATAGGAGTTTTCCGCTTCCCAGTAGAAGCCCATCATGACCACCATTCTGGATGGTCCTTGTGGTTTTCTGGAGCTACAAGGATCCATGTCACCTAAAGTCTGCTTTGAGACTACTGGCTAAACTGAAGTTGGAAGATTATCTACAGATGCCCTTTTCTCTTCCCACTAGCATTACTGAGTTGGTGGTAAGGCCCTCTCTCCATGCTGCTCACTGATCAGATAGTCTGCTTGGTGACAAAGGAGCCCCATGCAAGTATAACCCCAATGGATTTTCTCTCTTTCTAATATTCCAAGTAGGAAGTGGGGTTGCTGAACATACAAAATTAGAAAGCTGAAAACTGGTGAAGACATAAGGATTAGTGCAGAAATGAATGAAATAGAGAATAGAATCACAGTGAAGAAAATGAGTAACAATGAAAATTTGTGCTTCGAAAAAGAAAAATCAACACATTGACAAACTTTTAGTTAGATTGACTCCCTCCCCTGCCAAAAGAAAAGACCCAAATCACTAAGGTGAGAAATGAAAGACAGGGAATGAAAATCAACTTTTTTGGAAAAAAATACAAGAGAATATTATGACATATAGTGGTATGCAAATATATTAGGTAACTTAGATGAAAAAGACAAATTTCTAGAAAAACACAATCTACTAACACTGATTCAAGAAGAAACAGAAACTATGAGTGGACCTATATCAGGAGACTGAATTTGTATTCAAAAACTTTCCACAAAGAAAAACCTAGCACAATGGCTTCTCTGGTAAATTCTACCAAATATTTAAAGGAAAAGTAAGACCAAATTTCCACAACCTCTTTTTAAAAACAGAGCAGGAAGAAATACTCCCTAACTCATTTTATGAGACCAGAATTACCTAGATTCCCAAAATAGGCAAAGATATTACAAGAAAACTATAGAACAGTATCTTTTAGGAGATTCATCTCAGGAAGGGAAGGCTGGCTCAACATCTGAAAGTCAATTAATGCAATGTACCACATGAATAGAACAAAGGAAAAATAACTGCATGATCATGTAACAGATGCAGAAACAGCATCTGACAAAACTCAACACCTTTTCATTATATAACACTCAACAAACTAGGAATGGAGGGGCCATTTTCAACCTGAGGAAGGGCACCTACAAAACTCTACAGCAAAGCCCATATTAGTGAAAGGCTGGGTGCTTCCCCCTCCTAACATCAGGAACAAGGCAAGGCTGCTGCCTTTGCCACTTCTAGTCAACATTGCACTGGGGGTTCTATCCTGGCAGCTAGAGAAGAAAATGAAAAAAGAAGCACCCAGCTTGGAAAGGACGAAGTGAAACCATCTCAACTTACGGAAGGCATGACCTTATGCAGTAAATGTAAGCAATGTAGAGCTTGATGGGAACTAATAATTTAGGGAGGTTTCAGTGTACAAGATCAATATGCAAAATCGACTTGTCCGTATACTCACAGTGAAAAATTCAAATATGAAATTAACAAAATAATTGCACCTATTATAGCATCAAAAAGAACTGTGTGGCTGGGGACATAGTGCAGTGCTAGAGGACTTGCCTAACACACACAAGGCCCTGGTTCAATCCCCAGCACCACGAACAAAAGGAAACAAACAAAACCCAACTACACATACATACACAAAATTAGAAATAGGTTTAACAAAAGAAGCACAAACCTTAGACTATGAAAACTATAAATCATTGTTGAAAGAAATTAAAGAAAACATAAATGGAAGATTGTTCATGTTCATGAATCAGAAGATCTAACATTAAGATGGCAGCACCACCTAAATCGCTCTAAAAATTCAAGGCATTCCTATCAAAACCCTAGATGCTCCCCCTCACCCTTCCCCCCGCCCCACCCCCCCGCCACCCCTGGGCAGAAACCTAGGGAAATTCAACTAAAACCCATGGGAATTGAAGGGATTAGGAGATGGGGTGGCAGCTAAGAAGTACAGGGTGAGTTTGGGGTAATGAAATTGATTGAGGGATTCACTACTATGTGAGTGTATGAAAAGCCACTGAATTGCACACTTTGTGAAATGTACCAGATGTGAATTATGTCTCAACAAAACAGGCCAAAGCTAGACTATGTGTATCTGGGATAAAGAAACTTGCAACTCAGTGATGAGCCCTGGTATGGGAAGGCTCCCTTTAGAGACTGTTTTCTGTATCTGCATCTGCCCCACAACCCTCCCTGTACAGATGGAAAACTGATGTCAGGGTGGTGTTAGAAGAGTTAAAAGCTCTGAGCAGCTTAGAGGACACCAGCAGTGTGAATGTTTCAGCCTTCGCCCAAGGTGAGACCACGTTGGGACACAGCCCCACCAGCTGTCACACTTGATAGAAGTGGAGGGGGACCAGGTTCCTTCATATACCTGGCATCTGGGCAGAAAACAAATCTAGGGTCTGTTTTGAAGACATAAGTATCACTTAAAATATGAATCTCAAATCTACTTCTAAAAGGTTCATCATGAAGGATCAGCCCTCTTATGGTGAGAGTTTGGGAAGTACCAGACAGGTATTTTATGATTCCAGTAAGGATAAGGAGTAAGCACAAGCTGCCAATTAAGCGAACCCATGCTTCAGCAGGCCGTGGAAAGGCCTTTTCCAGGAAAAGGAAACTAGAATCAGCCTAGGGGAAAAGCCAGGAACATGCTCCCTTGTCTGAATCCACATACAAATTGCAAACAGAACAAGAAGGTGACGAGGCTGAGAGATGCCAGAGGTCAACTTGAGAAATGCCATCCCCTTGGAAGATGCAGCATTGTTTCCAAAGTCACACAGGGAGGAGAGTCTAGCCAGCCCTGGTTCTCTGGTTTCCTACATTCGCTCATGAATGTTCCCCTTTCCGTCATGTGGTGAAGAGGAACAATTACCAAGCCTTGAACTTGCAGGAATAGGCAAAGAGGGGAAACAAAGTCTCAATGGAAGGCATAGGAAGAGAACGGTCCTTCCTGTCTCTCAGCCCTTCTCCTTGTCTCTCCCTCCTCTGTCCTCCTGCCCCTGACCAAAGAAGGCAGAGGCCCAAGAAGGTAGTGGCTCCCTGGCCCTTTGTCTCCAAGGTGATCAAGCCCCAAACTTAAAATTTACAAAAAGGAATTCTGCATATACATCTCCTTTCAATCACTGACAAGTTATTTAACTGTTTTTATGTCTAGTGCAGCTTAGAACAAGATTTAAACAAAACAATGGAGGAAGACCATCAACTGTCACTGACTGCTGTGTAAAGCTGGGGTTCTTGTGATACACAGAATGAGATTCCCAAAGGCAGACAGTGATCACTGAGCCCTGAGGGGAGGGCAGCTTTCTACCTATAATGCCCCCAGTGCAGATGTTTATAGGACTTAGGAAGAGGGATGAGGTGTCTCTATTAAACTGGTAAATGGGGCTCACTCATCTGATTTTCTTTTAGAAGAATCTGCCCCTCTACTTCTACTCACCCTTGAACCTCCCCACATTTCCTTCCCGCCCCTGAGCCCCAGCAGAGGACTAGAACTTCCATACTTCTCGCCTGAGTAGACGCGGGCTCTGCGAGGCAGTGTGTAGGTTTTGGTGTTTGCTCCTTTCCGGAGAGGGTCATCCAGAGGTGACTGGCACGGGGGATCCTCTAGGGGGTTCCAGTAGCTCTGCTCACACATACCCCGCAACAAGATCTCGGCCAACTGTCTGGCTATTGTCTGGAAACACAGAGGAAAGGCATAGCCATGAATCCATTTAATAGTATTCATTCATTCATTCACTAAATATTTATGTCAGTACATTGTGGGAAGCACTACTCCAAGACTCATAATTAAAAGTTTTACTTCTATGATGAAAATTATACATACCAGTTTATGATAAAAACATAAGAAAAGATGACATGTTGAGATATTTGAACACTTTTTTAAAAAGGGTTCAAGCACTTCCAGTGTCACCTGCCTCTGTTACACCCTGGAACACTAAACATGTTTTACAACTAAGACAACTGAACTTGTAGCTTAGCCCTTTTCCAAGGGCTCTTATAAACAACAGGTGAGCTGCAGATATTTTCATTACCTTGCAATGGATGCTCAAACCTGGCAAAAAGCCAGGACTCAATGTAGTCAATGCTATCCCTGAAAAACATCTCTTTATTGGCCATATGATGCACACTGAAGGGTTTCAGAACACCTCCATGAAGCACCAAAGGCCACCTTACATGGCCCCAGCCCAGAACCCAGCAACTGGCGGCCCATTCTCAGGCATCCTGGGCCTCTAGAACCAAAGGCTCCAATTAGCCTTGTGCAATAGGGAAGGTATAGTGGGGGGCTATGGATTCTGATTGAGAAAGACCCTTACTCAAAGCTGGCTGAGGATCATCTTCCTCACAGTGAAAACCCAGAAACACCTGGATCTTGTCCTCCTGTTACTGCAGGTCAATATGCCTTACCAAGACCTCTGTACCTCTGCTGCCTAGAACAATAGATGAGAAGGGGTGTGGTTGATGTGTATCAGCTCACTTAACTCATAATCTTCCAGTGATAAAGAAGAGAAGAAGTGAAACAAACCCATCTGGAAACAGAAGCATTGTATCCGAGGTGGTCCAGGTCAGCCAGAGATGGCACGGTGTGACTTCAACCAGCTAGGCTTTCTACCAGGACTTTGTATTCTTTGGAAGATACAGGCAAAAAAGTGCTGATCTTCCCTGAGACTCAGCCTTTTTAAACAAATATGTTCCAGAAGAGAATTTTGCTACACTTTCATCCATGTGAAGTCTCTTAAAATTACTCAAGGAAACCTAAGTGCAAGCAAACCACGAGCTTGGTGGCTTCTGATAACCACTGAGTGAAGGCAAATTTCCTTGATTATTCCCCTGTAGGACCCACTGCCTTTAAATGTCTAAAAAATGTGAAATTAAATGCACTGTGATCATCCCCAACTGAGCCATCTGTAAAGATCTTGTAAGAACACAATTTTCAGGACCTAAACAGTTCCTGAGCTGTTTTCTTAAACCTTCCATTATAGTTCATTCTGATCTCATTGCAGTCATATAAGCTAATGACTTCTGCTGGAAATTTTACCCGTCAGAAACACCCTCTACTCGCTATAGCTGAAAAATAAATGTTAAGAGAAAAAATGTTAGACAAACAAGGAACTTCATTTTCTGGATGTAATCGCTCTGTTGGGATTCTAACATTATAAATGCTTCTCCTCCTCCTCCTCCTTCTCCTCTTGCTCTTCTTCTCCTCCCTTTTTGCTTGTCCACTATGAGACCATAAAGGGTACAATGCGATGACATTTAGTACATTCACAATGTTATGCAACCATCACCACTGTCTAGTTCCAAGACATTTTCATCACCCCAAAAGGAAACCGTATACCCTTTAAGCAACCACTTCTCATCTTCCCTTCCTCCCAGACTCTGGGAACAACTCATCTGACTTCTGTGTCTATGGATTTGCCTATTTAGAACATTTCACAGAAGAGGAATTATACAATAAGGGCCTATTTGTGACTGGCTTTCTTCACTTAGTATAGTGTTTTCAGTGTCTATCCACGTTGTGTGTGGATCAGTATCTTACTACTTTTTATGGCTGAATGGCACTCTGTTTTATGGACATCCACATTTTGTTTATACATTTTTCAGCTCAGAGACATTTGGGTGGTTTCTAGTTTTGGGCTGTTGGAAATAGTGCTATTATGACCATTCATGTATAAGTTTGAGTGAACACCTGTGTTCAATTCTTTGGCACATATACCGAGGAGCAGAACTGCTGTAAGTGTACTTTTAAATCCCTCCCTATGGTCTCACACCAAATCGAGTTTACCAAACAACTTTACCATCTCATAAAAATATCATAAGTTTGTAATTATTAGTTAATCTAAAAATCATAGAGTTAATAACTAAGTCTGATGGGCACTGTCTAAGGGATGGCATTAGCTGGAAAAGCATTCTGACATCCCATGAAAAGCAGCGCAAAGCCCAGGAAGTGCCGAGCGCATCTCTATTTAGAATCCACATCACAGGATTTTTAACAGTTAAAATACATTGATTTGAAAATTATAAACCATAGACAATAGTGGAATATATTTTCTTGAAATAAGCAGCAGGCAGATTCTCATAGTGTATTCAAGGCACTTGTATCTTTTAATGGGGAAACCATTCATTTTTGTAATAATGTGTGTTCATGTGTGTGTGTATGTGATTATGTGTGTGTACCTGAATCAACAGTATGAACAAATGTTGCATGTTTAAACCATTTTGTAAGACTGGCTTTTTCAATATGCTTCTAAAGTCATTCACAAAACACTTGGCAATTTAATCAGTTACTTCCGTTGTGCTTTGAGAACTTGGGAGAAACTATTTAAACACAGAAGCTATATGAAATGCTAGAATAAGTCAATTTGCAAGAAAAGATATCTGGGAATAATTTTTATCCATATAATTGCAGGGTTTTTTGCCTTCAAAAACCCCTAAAAATCAAAATGCTTTGTTTGAGCTTAAGTCCATAGAAATTACATCAATATGTAAATACTGGAGACCAAGTGTGATGGTGGTTGTGGTGTGTTTCTGTGCATGCAATATGTGTGTGTACATGTTGCTCATCTTGTTTAACTTCATAATTCTCACAAAGCCTATAGTTCAGCCACTTGGCCACACAGGTCATAGGTCTACATTATAAAAACCTGGAGATGCCCAACTAAAGCTCTACATTCATTTCCCACAACATGAATCTCTTAACTTTGCCCAACTGAGTACTACTCAACAATCTTCAAAGGATTGGTGACAAAGGGAAGATGACAGCATGGATGACAAAAGACAAGAGCAATTGCAATCTGATATACAGGGTTGCTACATCGATTGTGACATGTGGCATTTGCTTAGCTCTTAGTAATCACCAGGACTTCACCCAAACACCTGATAGCTGTAGCTCTGCAGGGCAAGCTACAAAGATATAATTAATCTTTGACCTCTTCAAAGAGAAAGCAAAAAGATTAAAAAGGAAGAGAGCATTCAAATCAACAGGAGGCCAAGCTCTGGTCAACTATTTGACCACCAGTTTGCAGATCGAACTATATACAGTTCATAAAAATAAACTCTCTAATATTTCAACTTTAAATTTGTAGTGAATGTGTCCACCCAAGCCACTAGTGTTTGAGGACCTCACCTGCATTGCTCTGTCTGGTTTTGGTGTGCAGCATAAGCACACTGACCCCTCCACGCCCTGGCATATGGGAGGGTCCACATTCTACCTGCTTCATGGGATACAGTCTTATATTCCAGAGAGAGCATTCCATACTGCACGAGAAGATGCTCAGGGGAATACACACCCAAACCACAATGAGGTACCACCAGACACTCACTCTGACTAAAAAATACTAATGAATGTTGCTTACGATATGGAGGAACCAGAATCCTCAGAACTGCAGGTGGGCCACTTTGGAAAAAGAATGGCAGTTCCTCAGACTGTTAAACACATAGTTACCATATGACCCATAATTCCATATATCCAAAAAAAAGAACAGATATGCCAACTCAAAGACATAAACATATTATCAATGTTCACAGCAGCATCATTCATAATAGCTTCATAGTAGAAACAACGCAAATGTCACCTGATAAATGGGCAAGCCAAGCGGGGTATATCCACACAAAAGAATATTCTTTGCCAGTAAAAAGAAAAGAAACACTAATATATGCTGCAACATGAAGGAAGCTCAAATGTGTTATGTTAGGTGAAGGGACCCAGTCACAAAAGACCACAGACTGCATTAATTCCACTGATATGAAATGTTTAAAAGAGACAAATCCACAGGCAAGAAGCACATAGTGATTTCCAGTGACTTGGGGAAGAGACGTCTAGGAATTGACTACTAATGAGCTTGGAGTTTCTTTTGGGAGTGATTAAAATGTTCTGAAGTTAAATATTGGTGATAGTTGAACAATTGTGAATACACGAAAAAACCATTGAAATGTGCACTTTAAATGGGTAAATTGCTATTTATATATCATATGATACATAAATGTAAATATATATTTGAGCCAAGGGCTCTGATGGCTTCAATCAAGTCATTAGTCACACTTACCATTCTCAGATTTTGGGTTGTTCTTGTTTCCACTGCTCTGAGAATCTCTCTGAATCTCCCGACTCCTCTTGTCAAGTTCCTGTGTGCACACAGAATTTGACAGGGTTTCCATGTTGTGTGTATTAATATTAAATATTTTATACACATATTCAATGCATTTATGAAAGCTGTTGGCTAGATTTTCAGCAAATAATTATTTTGCCCATGTCTATCCATATTTGGTCAACTGAAAAATCTGACCTAAGACTCATAATCTTTTGTACTTTCTAACCCCACTCAAATTTCCTCAAGGAAATAAAAATCTGTAAATCAGTTCTGAGGCCAAAAAAAAAAAATCAAGATATCTTATAAGGGTCTCTCTTCAAACTTACAACATCCCTCCCAGTGGTACTGGAATCTGTGTTTTTATTTACAAAGGAGGTGGCAACACAAGGCAGAAGGCATAAAGACACCAGCCAGGCACTGCATGCAATGAGGCACGGCTTCCTACAGCAAATTCATGGGTAGGATAAAGAGAAAAGGTTCAGAAAATGATGTCCACTAAGCAACTAGTCTGGATCTTTCAGAACATAACTCACTGCCCCGTAAATCCATCAAACCAACCCTCCTCCAACCTTGCACTGATGAAAAGAAGCAGAGGGTCAAAAGCCCCTCTGAGAACAAGTGTGTGGCGACTGTTGCGGGGTTTTCTGAGCAAGAACAGCACATGTCTCATCTTACTGCCTCACACACCCCACAGAGACATGTCTGGTGACATATTTCATTCAGGGACAAATCATTCTTTTAGTACCATCCTGGTCAGTGTATCTGGGCCCCACTGTCCTCTCTGAACTCTGATCCCATCCTCTTTAGCTGGGAACACCTCCCAGCCAGTTGCTTTACATTGAGCGCTGCCACCACTACGGCATAATTCGGTGATATTTATAACATGCTCATTAGAACATATCTCATCTTTCCAAAAAGCCACAGAACGGGTCAGCTGGTACAAAACTATCAGCCAGCCTCTGCAGGCTGTGGCAAATGCTCTAGGTATTCGGCTCTCTTCCTGGATGACATTTTAAATCACACAAAGGTATTAAATCAAAATGTGAGTTCTGTATATTACAAGCACTCGTGAGGGCTATTAATTTGCATCTTATACCTACATGACTTCCCAGGGCTCTCATTCATAAGAACAGCCCAGAACTTCAAGATAATGGCTTATTGGCACAGATACATAAATACTCCCATATTCCCCTTACCCACACATATCAGGTGATAGCAGATCAGAAGCTTTATGGTGGCATAAAAAAGAAAACCATGTGTTCAGGACTACAAGTAACACCAAGGAAATCTAATTAAGATGTGAATTAAAATTAGGTAACAGGCCTGGGACATGCAATCCACCCTGCTTTCCCTTTCACTTGCTTTTATGGGATCTGTGTTCACAGGCAACAAAGTACATTTACTCCAGACTGAAGGTGAGTTCTCTCGAGTAACATGGGGAAAGGAAATAGCTACAGCTAAAAAAAGGGATGAAATGGTGGTTAATTTTATTCCGGAATCACTGATTAAGCACCCACTGTGTACAAAAGGACCAGCACTCTGATAACAGGGGGTGCCTGAGACAATGTCACTGGAGACCCTGGTAAAGGACTGCATTGCCAGAGGGGAAATTAGACCCCAAATAAGCAGCATTAAAGCTAAACATCATAACTCAGGAAAGGCTACAAAAAGGAACTGGTCATTCAGAGTGTCTCCCATGCCCTTCTTGCAGGATAAGCTATTTATATAGTTACAGAAGCTCAGAATTTTCTAGCTATAAATGACCCAACGCAATCCATCTCACAAAGAAGGGAAAGGGCCTGCTCAGGTTCAAAGCCTGGCCAAAGAGCAAGGGAGCTTTCTACCACACTCTATTACCTTCTTGGGTAAAAGAATATAAGCTCTAAGCCAGAATGTAACTCTAGAGGAAAGAACAAATAAGAACGTAAGAGCTCAGGTGCACATTTTGTAACACAAATATGCAAACTACTTTATATAAAATAAATTCTATGTGTTCCAGTGATGACTGCTTATGAGATGTTCCCAGATGCTGGTTCAAAATTAGAACGCAAACCCATTGACCCAAGTGAAGAAGCCCAGAGCCTGAAGGTAATACCCTTGGTTACCCAAAGAGATAAATGATGGATGGAGAATCCAACTCCCCCTTAAGGCTGGAGATGGTTTCTCCCATGCAGGACCTGGGCCCTCTGGTGGAGGAATGGAAGAACATCTATGACCAAAGGTTGCTGAGCACACAGCATAGTGGGGGTAAAGCCAGCAATTGAATGCACACTCCCAAGAAGCCTTGGGAGCACACGCAAGCTTCTCTCACTTTCCTTCCAGCTTATTCCTGGACAGTGTTTAGGATTCATTATCAAATTCTTCCTCAAGCTGGGGAGAATGCTGCTTGTAGATAAAGAATTCTCAAAATACATAGAAGGCCCAAGGCTGTGGCCTGTTCAAATGCCTGTGGTACCCTGAAAAGTCAGTCATGGGGCTGACTGATGCTGCCCAGCTCTAGAGCAATCTGATGACAGGAAAGCAGGCTGTACAGTTTAAATTTTAGAAGAGGTCCCAAGTGCAAGTCTTGTATACCATTCAAACATGTTCAAATCATGTCACTAAACCAATCACTTCCACTGCTGCTACTGAGAACAGCCTTGATAGATAATCATGACAGAAGGGGGAGAGAAATTAGCTTATAAGAACTAAATTCTAAATGCTATGAAATCATCCAATTGAGAGAGACAAACAAAACCCACCTGATTGCCTTCTTATCACTGAACTATGAGTTTTTTCTTAAAATGCTGAGATCCCTTACAAAACTAGAATGAACTGTTGCTTGGAACTTGCACTCCAAAATGTAGACAAGAAAGCCAAGGAATTTCCCTGGTTTTGAGAGATTCCATAGACCCTTGACATGAGGTAATTTACTCCATTTCAACACCCTCAGCTGAGGCAGTGCAATGATGTCAGAATTCATTATGGTGAACTATTCACAAAAGGAATGTTTTTGCCAGCGTTGGAGCAGCGAACACTCTGGCAAGCCATCAGACCTTAGGTTCATCTTCTGTACTTTGGTTGGCAAGTTTCCTGAGCTGGGTGTATTTCTCTCCAGGTGGAGTGGTTCCGACAGCTCCGCCATTACCAAGGAGGGAGGGGCCTGGAGATCTCTGAGTGGCAGCAGCCTGTTCAGTCCAACAGGCAGGCAAAGCTCCATTTCTACTCACCAACCTCACTCCTGTGCCCTTCCCATCAGGGAGAGAGTGGGCCCATGCCACTCGGCCTTGTCCTTGATCAAAACCTTGCTCTCTCTTTGGCAGGAAAACCCACTAGTTTGATGGAGACACATTCTGCTCTGCCCTTGACCTACTTCCATTTTTTCTTCTCTCCTCCCTTTTCTACCTTGTTTCATCTTCCTCCTTCTGAATCTAACCCTTCTGGGGTTTATCTGCTGGCCCACAAGTAAGTGTAAAAATCATGACTTCCTGAGGGTCAACTCTGGTCCCCATGGGCCACCAGGACACCTGGGAGGGTGTTGACTTTCCAGCACTTGCCCCTCCCTCTTAACCCTCCATCCTCACAATAGGCTCCAGTTGCCTCTCAGGGCCTGAAGCAATCTTTTTCAAGGCCAGTCTCCAAAAGTCACATTCTTGCTACAAGCTTACAGCAACGCCCAGTTTTGTCCTGTTCTGTTTTATGACTGTGACAGTCTCAGATCTTTAATATTGTCCTCTGTTCCTCTGTACTATCAAACCAAGGGGAAACGCATTCAGGAAGAAAGTCAGAGATCCAACATCAAATCACAATGGAAAATCAACACTGGCAGAGACCAGGAGACTTGAGAATCCTTTCAGCTTGTGAGAGGCTAGGTTAATGCCAAGTTCAACACACATTTCTGTTATTTCTCCTCATTTCTTGGGACTAGGGTGAGAAAAGACAATTCTTCCTTTCAACATGTCCTTCTAAATTATCTTCTGACTTCCAACTTTGACTCAGGCCTCCAATACACATACATTCAATATCATTTGCTATTATTACGGAAACTCAAAATTGTGACATGAATAAAAAAATTTTCACACTAGATTTCAAATCCCTGGACAATAAGGAAAAGGTAGTCCTGCCAGAATAAACTCAATTTCTCCCCTAGCCGAGAGTTTCATAACTACAAATCAATTGTAGAACAAGTCAACACAATAGCTCTCTCTGAACAAAGAAATGGTTTGGCTTTTTCCAGGTTCTTTTTTTTTTTTTTAACCACTGGCACTTAAGCAGTAGGTTACTTTACCAATCACTGAGGTATATTTCCTTTCAGACTCCAGGCTGGTCCCTGAGAATACACTGGTGAACAGGGGACACCAACTGCCTCACAGAGCTTAGATGGCTTCACGGTCCTACTGGAATGGAAGTGTCTCCAAGACAGAGATGCCTGTTTTGCTCACTACCCTATCCCTAGCCCTCCAACAGAGCCTGGTTCAGTAAGTATTTGCTGAAAATGAATGAGTGACACCTCATGAGCCAGAGGACCAAGACCACAGGGGATGTATTTTCAACCCACTGCCTATCCACTTCTTTCTCACAGGTCCTCCGAAAGCATCTTGTGGGCCCTCAGCAGTGCTCCTTGTAGTGTGGAGACTGAGGGGTGGATAGGGAGCGGTCCTTCTATACCAAGTCACATACCTGAGTGTGCCCATTCTGATAGGTTTAGAGAACTGTGTGGACAATGAGGATCTCAAGGTTTTTGTTTGTTTTAAGAAAACCCTTCCAGAGATTTTATAAAAACTCATCTGCCTTTGTGCCTTCACATGCTCCTCACTATCTGCAGAGTCCTGGGAACTCTTCCTTATCTTTCAAGACCAGGGCCAAGGCCACCTTGGAAAACTTTCCTAGCTTCTTCAGGAAGAGGCAGGCATGCTTCAGATTGGTGGTGGGGAGCTCCCAACAAGGCCACACACATTTTGAGCCTAGGCAGCACTTACCACATTGATTTTCACTGGTATCTCTAGGTTCATCAACCAAACTGCAACTGTCCTGGAGCAAACACACTCTTTGTGC